GACCTGTGGGATGATAGCTGCCTTTGCAAATGTTTTAAGCCCTTCCTGTACTGGCCTCCATGTCTGTGCATTCCCCCTTTCCTTCTTATCTCCCTCTCATCCTTACCTCCTCCCCTTACTCTTTTCTTACTTCCTAGCTTCCTCTCCACTTCTTGGTGCACCCTCCTGCGAGCTTAGCCCCCACTCCTACCCACAAGCCCTTCTTTGCCAATACCTTCTACAGTGCCCTTTCCTCTACTCACCTGGAAGTCTCAGATCAAAAGTCACCACCTCCAGGATGCCATTCAATCCTTCTCCTCTGGTACCATACAACTTTGCAAGTGCCTTTATAATTTTCAAATTACATGGTAATGTGATGTTTTTCTCCTGGTTGGAGTCTACCTGGTGGACTCATGGTGCACAGATGAAATCCTTTGTGGAAATGTGCACCATGTGTATGCGTTTCCCTCTCTTTCATCCCCTGTAACTCCTGGGAATAATATTTCCCCAGGCTGGAGCAAATTACCTTTGCAACCGAAATCAGTCAAAGGGAGACATAAAGTGGAAGAAACTCATTTATTCCCTAAAAGCAGTTGTCCACTTCTGCTCGCCCATGCCTCCCATGACCCAGCTGCAAACAGGGACCACACCCAGCCTCTCCAGTCCAGATATGCCCTGGATCCCCTGTAATGATCACCTGTTGGTATGGAGATGGACCACTTCTCTCCACCCCTTGGAAATACCTATTGATATGGAGATGTATTAAGACCAGGTGAGAGATTCTGGAAATATTGCAACTTTGCCCCCTGAATTTTACAGACAAACCAGGTCTCTAAACCTTGGTGCTGTTCACAGCCCATCCTTTCTCCTGTAGATGTTGCAGCAGTCTAGGAACTGCCCTTCTAAATCTAAAAGAGACTTAGAGATGAGCATAATATCATCAATGTAGTGATACAGCTGTACCATTTGCAGTTTATTCCATGTGGCCAAGTCCTGGGCTACAAGTTCTTGACAAATGGTGGGACTGTGGAAGGACAGTGAATGTCCACTGCCAGCCTTCCCACATGAAGGCAAACTGTTCCTAACTTTCCTGTGCTATGTCAATAGAGAAGAAAGCATTAGCAAGGTCCACAACATAATGATATGTTCCTAGTTCATAACTGAGTGTGTCCATAAGGGCTGCTATAGAGGGGACCGCTGCCTGCAAGGGGGGTGTGACTTTATTCAATTCCCTGTAGTCCACGGTCATATACCAGGAGCCATCTGGCTTTCTTTCTGGCCACACTAGGGAATTAAAAGAACTGTGAGTGGACCTTATGATGCCCACCTTTTCCAACTCCTGTAGAGTTTCTCCAATTTCCTTGTGCCCTCCAGGCAATTTATACTGCTTAGTATTTGTCACTTGCTGGGGTATAGGCAGAACTACAGGTGGGTACTTAGCATGTCCCCTCAGAACTGCCTTTACCACACATACCCTCAGTCTGAACTCACCTGTGGTGGTCTGTAGCCACAGGCCCTGAAGGATATCCACCCCCAAAATATATTTTGGGATGGGAGAAATGTACACAGTATACTCCTTTGGGGGTAAACACCCTATCCCCAATGGGATTTGGGCTTTCTTCACTCTAATTGCCTTGCCCCCATAGCCATCTATCGCAGCAGGGTTCCCAGGAAAACACTCAGTGTTGCCATAAATCAGAGAACATTTAGCTCCCCTGTCCACCAGTGTCAGGATGCATTGTACATTCTCTGGGGACCAGTGAATTGCTAATTCTACATGTGGCTTCCAGTCTCCACCACATCCCCCAAGGTGGGGATCTTGAACCCCCTGCCTCAGTCAAACCACAGTGCCCAATTGTCCTCCTGAGGAAGTGAGAGCCCAGGCAGAGCCTGAGTACTGTCCCCCAGGAAGTCTTGCAGGGACACAGACTGGACATGGGACTTTGACTCCAGCTTCTGTGACCTGGACCTCAGTGGCTGGAATTGCTGCTCTGGCTTTAATTGGTGCCACAGTTCTAACAAGATCCTATTGGGCTGCCCATCAAGTTTTTCTTTCACTACTTCTGGCCTTTATCAAGTCAACCCACATCTGGATCCTTGAGACCTTCATGGGGCCCTTTGCACTTCTCCATTTAGTCGTAGCCCATACTTTCTTTTGTGCTCTTATTGTTTCAACCTCCCCTAGATTTGCTAAAGTATGAGTAGTCTTGCTTATGGGTTGTCCTATGTGGGGGGCAAGAATAGTCACTAGGGACCAAAGAGAGATGGGGGAGCTGTATGGAGCACCAGATTTCTCATTCCTACAGTGAACAACTCCTCATCCGGGCCCTGGGAGTCCATATTATAGATGACATTTTTCATACCCAGCTTCCCTAACACCTGCTGGAGCTCTGCATGTGTTTTCCAGATAGTGGGTAAGTATGGTAAATTACCCTGGTTAAGCCAAACTTCCCTGATGGCTGCTGTCAGCTAGTCCAGAAGCACCTGATTCCCTGAGGTAAGACAGGAACTTTGCAACCTCTACCAGAGGGAAGGGTGAGTCATCAAGGAAGCCAATCTACTCATTTCAGAACCAGACATAACAATGCTTTCCTCCCCCATATTCCAGAGACGCAAACGTCATGTAAGCAGAGGTTCCAATGGCTTCTGCCTATACTGGACGCTCACGTCCACCAGCTCACCCTGCGTACAGGGGTGAAGCATGGAGTGCTCCACAATCTGGGGAGGGGCAGCTCTTCCCCCTGAGAAGCCTGCAATTGTTGCGTTTTTATTTTCTCAATTACGACCGGGAGGGCCTTTAATACAGGAGAGGCTGGTGCCTTGGGAGGTGGCCTCAGCAACAGATTGGCTCTCGGCCCCACTCCCTCATCCTCTCCCAACATCTCTACTATCTCTGGGGCTGAAGGCACTCTCTTTCCTTCTCCTCCCCCGTGGCCTCCAGCAACGCAGCTTCTCTGGCTGCCTTTTCCCTAGCTGCTGCTAAGGAATCTTCCAGCAGCACCACCCATCTTCTCAATAACGGTCTGTCTTCCTTAAGGGCATCCCATAGGTCATCACCCAGTTTCTCCAAGTGATGCTGAAGTGTGTCTCTCTCCTGCCAAAGTCTCTTTCTCTCCTTGATAACCCTCCCTGTCTTCTCCATAACACTTTCCACTATCTCGAGGAAAAGAGATCCTGCAATCCCAGCTGCTACACAGGCACTCAGGGCCTCTAAGCAGTCTTTTATCTCACAGAGGGCTAATTCCACAGTTTCAGGTGTCTCCACCCTTCCCTAGTTTTGGGGAGGCCCTACCCCTCTAGGAAGTGTTTTACCCTAGACCAATTTTCCACTAGGGGCTCTCCAGTTGGAAGCCAACAGATAGGGAGCTCCCGGGTGAAGCTGCACCCTCTACTGCTGCAGCCACTGGGACACCCCCTCCACTATGCACAATGGGGATTCTGGTCATCTCCCCACTGTCTCTAGGGAAAGCCCGCCCAAGGGTTGCACCCATGTAGACAGATTTTGGGTTCAGAAACTATAACTCTGGGGGGAAAATCCCGGGGCAAAATACTTCTGAAACAGAATCAGTCAAAGGGAGAAATAAAGTGAGAGAAACCCATTTATTTCTTATAAACAGTCCACTTCTGCTCCCCTGTGTCTCTCCCCACCAGGCTGCAGAAGAAGAGGCCCCCACCCAACCTCTCAGATACAGATAAGCCCTCACTCCCCCCTGTAACTACCTACTGATATGGATATGGACTACTTCTCTCCATCCCTTGTAAACGCCTATTGTGTGGAGATGCTCTAAAGCCAGGGGAAAGATTCTGGAAATATTGCAATTTTATCCACACCCACACCCACGGACTCCCACATTCAAACCCTCTCCCCAGGATCCAGTGTTTTCTTCAGCTTCACAAAGGGGTGCAGAGCAAAATGAAGACAACCCTACACACTTTGCAGAGAGGTAGAGATGCTTAGGAAGTAAGAAGACCTGATGTGGAAGCTCCTAAAAAGGCAAACAGGAGATATTCCGTGGGATTCCCACAGCTTTTGCAGACAGCAGCTGGGCAAAAACTTAACTGGAATAACAGGGATGTTGTGGGCTCCGTTTGTGCGGAGGGGGTGCTTGTACCAAGTCACTGATGCTTTTGCTGCACCAGTTATGACCAGAAAGGACCCTGACCTTTCCCGGAAGTATAAGGGACATCTTCCTTCCCGGAAAGGCCCAATGAGCGCAGGAACCCTGGACGAGATCAGGGGAGCTTGCTTGTTTCCCAGCTAGCCCTGTGGCGATACCCAAAGTCTCCCCTGAACCTACTCATACCGTACCTCTCCAGTGCCACCCACACTCAGACCCTAGGCTCCCATTTGACCAAAGCCTGCATGTGTGAAGTGTCTGACGCAAAGCAGGACATGTCCGGCTACTTTTGATCTTTTCTGAGTCCATTTGAAAGAAAAGTGTCACTTCTACCATGGAAAGAAAGCAAACAACAACATGGCTATACGAGAATCACCGGACCCCTTCAGCTTCGTGCCCCGCAGGGCTGATGGGCTGGTTACAGGAGCGGGCCCAGGGGATCTCAAGGAGATCCCCTGATGTAAGGTATGGTCGAAACATGTTTGTTTTTCCTGAAATCCGCCAGGCTCTGCCTGTTCGACTGCTCTGGTTCCCTCAGGGAGGCCAAAATAGAGTAGACATTATTGGTCCCATTTTGCAAGTGGGCAACCTTCACTGAAGGAGGCCAAGTGACAGCGCCAGTGTAGGCGGGATCAGCAACCTAGAAACCAGGATCTCCTCTGACGCAGACCCTGCTGGAGGCAGGCAGTCAGGACGCGTTCCGCCCGCCGCCAGTGGCTACTGGTTTCCACGCGCCTCTGTGAACGGGGAATCGCGAACCTCCCGGACCACAAGAGGTCTCCCGGGCTGGGAATCTTTGGGCTTCCGAGAGCTCTGGCCCCGCCCTGAGGCTCCTCCGGCCCTGCGATTGGCTCCATGGGCCGGGGGCGGAGCCGGACGCCGAACCGACGTGATGACGTCAGGCTCCGAGAGCGCAGCTTCCTGTTGTCAGTCGCCGGGAAGCCGCTGGGTCGGGTCACAGGATTAGGGTCTGCAACGGCCTGAAGTAGCGGCCCCCCTTCCTCGCTCCCTCTGGTGAGTTAGGGGTCGCGGGCGAGGAGGGCAGCGGAAGAGCGGCGAGTCCGAGACGCGAACGGGCGGTGGGCCATCAGCCCTCTCCGTGATCCCAAACCCCTGGTTGCCTTGAAACCCCTGCTTCAGAGCCCTTTCCCTTCCCAGCCCAAAGGCCGGCACCCTGGCCCTCTCGGACCCTAGCCTTCGGCTCCCACTGCCACTGCATTTGCGTCCCCTCCATCTTCTCCCACCTGTGACCTGATCCCAGCCCTTACTCCCATTCCGTCCCCACCGGTCTTGCATAAGTGCAGCCCCACCCTTGATCCCACTCTAGCCCAGTTCCAACCCTTATCTCTGCCACATGCCTCCGCCACCCTCTAACACATTGCATCCTCACCCCTCAACCCCTTCGGCAGTCCGAATGCTCCTCGCAAACCTCCAGACCCACAGTTCTGGTTTCTCCCTTTCTGGCTCAGTTTTCTAATCCCAATCTCCACCCCATCCTCCTCCCACCCCACTCCCCCGTCCCCTGCTCAGCTCCCCAAGGTCTGCTCTTCCTGAATACCCCACCTCTGTCCCACCCATGAAAGACCCACCACCAAAGTAGATGCTCTGCTGAGCTCACTCTTGGTAGCTCTGATCACAGCCCTATCCCAACATTTCTATGTATCATCTTGTCCTCAGATATTCAACTCCTAACTTCTGAACCCACCAAATACTTTCCATCGCCAACTGCCCTGAGGACACTTCTTCCTAAGTCTGTGAGGTCTCGATGTCCCTGCCTTAACTCTTCACTCCAGCTCTGGGCCCATTCTTCTCTTGACCCAGCCCCCATTCCTTCTGAGGACTTACTTGGTAGAGTCCCCTGCCAACCCCACCAACTGCCTCCTAGAAGCCAAGTCTGGGTGTTTGCTCAGAACTGGACAGTTACTGAGCAGTTTGATGCATGCATAGCCTCAGATGGTAAATTGTGGAGGAGTAGAAAGCCCCCCATTCCTTGGGTCAAGAGATTTTCCTAGGTTTCTGGTCCCCTGTACCTGTTTTCCATGGACTGTGTTTCTAGCATTCATATTAAATTACTCGTGCAGGCTGCTGGAATGGTATGTATCACCCAAATACCTGGAAGGTGAGGGGTGGCCACTTAAAGGACACTGAGCCTGGGGCAACAGAAGCCATCACTTCCTTTGGCTGGCGATCGGAGAAACTCAGGGAGTGCCCTTGTGTTGAGGTGGCTGTGGTCACAGAGCCATGTCCATGTGTCTTGTCCTGGAACTTGGAAGGGACCGGCATCCAGTGCTCCTCCCAGTGGGAGCTGGTTACACCTTAGTCCCAACACTAAACACAGGGAACACAGTGGGTGCCGGAGGCGATGTTGCACATTGTGAAGAGTATAGATGAGTAAGTTCTGGGAAGACTGAGGCCTAGGTGGGTACAGAGGCTGTTGAATTGCTTCCTCTTTTTGCAGGTGCTGGCTCATTGAGTTTGACCATTTTGGTTACCCAAGAATACAGGGAGCCCAGTTATCTCAGATTAGCTGAGGCAGAGGGACATTCCTGAGCCCTCCAGGCCCATTCTCAGCATATAGATATAATCTCCTGTGCTTTTTGGGTGCACATCCCCTCCAGATTCTGGCACTGGGCTCCATAGGGTTAGCTGTTTGACAGCAATTGTAAAGGGCCCCAAAGAGGACCCGTTGTCTCTGCTTGCCATGTGTAGTGTCATGTCCCTGAAAACCAGATGCCCTGCTACCTTCAGTATCCCCTCATCTGGGTGTGACATAGCTGAATGGTTTTTAGCCTGCTGGCCTCTTGGCTTAATAGAAGGAGTTTCACAGTGGCCCCACCACTGAAAGCCTGTATACCCCCAACTTCCCAGTCTGTGAAATGGAAATACCTGCTCTAAGCCTTTGTTTTACTTTAATAGTTATTTAGCAAGTAGTTTTTGAGCACCACATGTGCTATGCACTATTCTAGGCATTAGAAATGCCATGGTTACTGAGTCAGGCAAAGTTCCTGTTGTCATCCATTCAGAGTTTGGTCCTTGCTAGAATCCTAAGGCCCATGGGACAAGAATATGGGGGAGAGGGGTGTTTTGGATAGAAGGAAGGAGGGAAGAAAGATAGTGTTTACTGACTTCACATTTCTGGCTTCATCCACTAACCCTTGGACTGGAAATCACAAGCTAGAAGTTTCTCTGTCTCCAGCTGGTATTCAGTTGCCTCAAAGGCCTAGCTCCTCCACCCGCCATCCCCCACTATCCTCACAGGACACTTATCTAGAAATCCCAACTTCCTTCAGGTGGACAGAGTGCTCCTTGCACGTGCAGTACGCACATGTCTGAAAGATCAGCTGTTTTTCCAAATCAGAAGATAACTTTGTCATTCTTTCCCAACTGGAAAGCATGACTTATCAATTGGTACAGCAGCTGAGTGCCTTAAACACCAGGCTGTTCTGAACAGTATAGGAGAGGAGGCTGGTGGGAATGGCTGAGAAGTCTCCAAGGAGAAGCGGTTGCTGTTTACTGATGGATGGAGTGTTTCAGAAGCCGTAAAGCCAGGTCATCCATTTCTTCTTTTAATGTAAGTCTCATCTAAGCCAGTCTCCTTTCTTCCTTAGTCCCTGGAGGAAGTGAAATTGGACATGTACAGAGGCCAGTCATGATAATGAAGAAAGCAACTAGAACAATTCCCTCCTACCTGTTGTTGGAACAAATAAGAAAGAACAGCTCTGAAACTTGGGTACCGTGGAAAGGATGTGGGTGCAGCTGGTCAGGTTTGCAGGTCTGATGGCAAGATTATTTCTTGTTGGCTTCAGACCTCCTTTGGTAAAGTGGCATTTCCAAGTGCCTCTGAAGAGTCTGTAAGTAATCAGTTTGGCTGAAACTCTTTAAACCTAGGACCTGAGGCAGTTTGATCTGGTAAAAGGCTGGGGACCTGGAATGAGGAAACCAGAGAATTCTGTCCCTTGCCTGGGGCCCATCTACTCTGTAAAACAGGGATAACCCTCCTCCTCTCTGGATTGTTGTGGGAATTAAATGAGATAAGAGAATGAGGTCAGAGAAGCTTGGAGAACTGTGTGAACAGGGTGAATGCAATAGGGTGAATCAATATTTAGGGGGAAAGGTAGGCTTGGCGTGGTGCAGAGTTTCCTAAGGACAGACAGAAGTGACTATTTCTGCTAAACTCCACCTGTGGTGTTGGAAGGGCCTTTAACAGTGTAGCCATGTTCTCTCCTTCCTCTCTGCAGCCCAGGTCTCCTTGAAGCCCCACCTCTCTTTGGTTTGGTTCCTGGCATCAGTGAAGAGTGTTCTGAGGACAGGAAGTGAAACCAGTCCCATAGGATGGCCAATTGGGGGTCTGGGCCACCCAGGAGAGTGATGGAGCACTGACCCAGGGCAGTCAGGAGCCCCAAAGCCCTGTTCCACTTCCACTGGGGAGTTCTCATCAGAGACCATCAGATTCCTGCCTCTGAGCCACTTCCCTGCCTCTCTGAGGCATTATGGAACAGACGCACATAGGCAGGGTGATTTGGCTTCCTATAAAGAAAGGTATGCCCTGAGTTGTGGCGTGAACCCCAAAGCCTCGGTCCTAGTTTGTGAATTGTCAGGTGGCTCTTCTGGAATCCTCTGTGCTGATGTCAGTCACGTTGTGGCCTTTCTGACACTTTATTTTAGGGGACAGTTATTTTTCTCTTGTCTAGCCCGTCTCAGGCCAGTTCACTCTGAGTTTTTGCAGACTTACTTGGCCAGAGCAGCCACTGACTGAGAAGGCTCCCTCCCTCTAGTGAATACTCTATTATTTCTAGGTAATTCATTAATGAGGCTTTAATGGACCCAGGCTATTATCCAAATTGTTGAGATCTAAGCTCCTCAGGGGGGCTTGGCCTTGTGAGTGGCTGAAGGAACAACAGTTCTGGAACTTAAGGCTGGGGCGAGAAGGGCAGGCCTGTGGGGAGGCATTTCTGAAAGACTGGATCCCAAGGTCATGGTGGGCAGCACAGGGGGCCTTGGAGGAACCTAGCCTCCAGGATGAGGCACATTTTCAGGAAGGATTCTGATGCAGCACGTGCCCCAATTCCTGCTGCCTTGGTGGCCAGAGTGTGAGTGTGGAGCTGGTGTCCAGAGGAGGCCCCGAGAATCCTGGGTAGGAACCCTGGGAGTGGAGAGTGTGGCAAAGGGTGAGGCAGTCAGGCGCTGCGGCCGGCCGGGCCAGTGCCGTTCCTGGAGGTCTGCTACGCCCAGACCAGAGCTGGGCCTGCAAGGGCCTCCTCCATACACACCTCCCTCCCTCTGCATGTCATTACAGAGGGCAGTTGGCTCTGCCAGCTCCAGAGGCCGGGGATTGAATCGGAGCTTTTCCCACCATTTAGGGCCACCCTGCTTCACTCATATCCAAGCCTCATGCTCCACCGCTCAGTAAAGCTTTCCCGCCAGATTGACCTTCCTATCGGCTTGCACCCCCTCACCCGGGCTCCTACCGGGATGCACTAGGTAAGGGTGCAGTGGAGGTTACAAGGGCTACAGTGGCCTAAGTGCATAAGTACTGGCCTGACCCACCACCCCAGGTTCAGTCTGTACCACCCAGCTGGGGAGCCCTCCTCCTAGTCCCCCGGCCCCAATTCCCACAGCCTCTTAGCCCTAGCTCCCTCTGCCTCTTCGGAAGGGAGGGGACTGCACTCGTTCAGGCATCTGGGGGTTTCCTAGAGCTGGGGTTGGCCTCATTTTGGTGATGGGTGGTGGAGTCCCCCACTTATCAGCCCTAGGATCTCAGGAAGTTCCTCGACCTGGGTCGGCTTCTACTTCTAATCTGTCAGAGATGATAAAATAGCACTCCTCGGGTGGTTATAGGGAATGAATGAGGCCATATATGTAAAGGGCACAAAACCCATTTAGCACGCCTTGGTTTCTTCTTTGGGCCATGCAAGAGTTTTTGAGAGCAGAGACAGCGGGAACCTTTTCCTATTTTGGTGGCCTCTCCTGCTCAGCTGTGTGGTCACTAGGGCTTTGTTTGGAATGGGAATGCGCCTGCCTAGTCCCCATCTGTCCAAATTGCTGGGACTGGGCCGGGCCAGTCATCAGCCCCTCAGGCTCAGCCACCCCCAGGCGGAAGCCAGGTGTCCTGAGGAGTCTACCCGTGTACTGACTTCAGCTACTTGTGCACACTCATTTCGGCAGTACCATTCTTTGCCTATCGATTTGGGTGGCCACATCCCCTGGAGTCATAGATACCATTCATCCTTGGTACATAGCAGGCCCTATGCTGAGCATTTTTCACATTCATAATTGCTGTTTGAGAAATCTGATTCAGTGCCCAGCATGCCCAACTGGTTAGTGGCAAGTTGAGATTAGAACCCATTTTGGTCCCCTTTAGATGTGCCCCTGTGCTGCTTAAGCCAGAGCCTTGCAGCGCAAAGGAGAAGCAGATGTGGAGCAGGCCTTTTCAGTTGTACTTTTCCCTGCTGAGCTGGCAGACCCTGGACTGGAACAGGTGTCGGAGGGGCAGTGGCAGGGCCCAGGCCCGGAACGTGACTTGTGAGCCCCTGATCCCTGGTCCCTGTGGGTTCTTGGCCCTTTCAGCTGCAGTGTCCTCCCTTGCACTTTCAGCTCAGTACCTAAATCAGCCTTGCATCCCCTGCTCTTTGTGCCAGTGTTTGGCGTGGAGTGAAGAGCCCTTCCTCCGACTCCTTGGGGCAGACCCGCCTTTGGCACAGGGGCTCCTCACGCCCCAGGATCCCAGCCCTCGGACTTTGTTTTCTTCCTTAAAATCCACTCTGGGTTTTTGCTTTTGTATCCCAGAGTCTTTCAGTTGCAGTCTGAGTAAGATGGCTGCCCTCCTGTTGGCTTCTGAGGGGAGACAGGGGACTGGCTGGGGGTGGTGAGTTGGGAACTGGCTCACGGGGCTGCTGTCTGTCTCTGCAGGTGTCATGTGATTCTCTGAGGGAGCTGCTGCGTGAGTGGAAATGCTCTCAGTGGTGGAAAATGGACTGGACCCCCGGGCTGCCATCCTGGTAGGTGGCAAAGGTGCATTGTGTGGGAAGGGGTGCACAGGACAGCCATTTCATTGGTTTTCTTCCTTTGAAATGAATGGGCCCTGTCCAGAAAGAGGCCTCGGGTTGAGAAAGACTTATAACAGAAGCAGGTTCTGTGGATATCCTGCCGTTTCTAGGTCATCTTATTGGTGATAAAATGGAATTTCATAAAAAACAATGGGGATTTAATATTATAGGTTATCTGAAGACCAAGGATTTCTCCAAAGAAGATATACAAATGACCAATAAGTACTCAATATACAAAAGACCAAAAGATTCTCAACATCATGAGACATTGGACAAATGCAAATCAAAACCACAATAAGATTCTTCTGTACATCCACTAGGATGACTGTTAACAAAATGGCAGATGATAATAAGTGTTGGTAGCGTTGTGGAGAAATTGGAACCCTCATACACTGCTGGTGGGAATGTAAAATGGTGCAGCCATTGTGGAAAGGTGTTTGATAACTTCTAGAAAAGTTAAACACAGTTACATATGCCCTAGCAATTCCACTCCTAGGTATATATCCAAGAATATTGAAAACATATGTCTACACAAAAACTTGTGCGTGAATGTTCATACCAGCATTGCAACTAAAAGTGGGAACAACTCAAATGTCTATTAATCAATGAATGAATAAATAAGAGATGGTATATTTATGCAATGGAATATTGTTTAGCAATAAGAAGGAATAAAGTATGATACATGTACAAGATGGATGAACTTGAAAACATGCCAAGTGAAGGAACCCAGACACAAAGGCCACATGATTATATGATTCCATTTATATGAAATGTCCAGAATAGGCAAATCCATAGAGACAGAAAGTAGGTGAGTGGTTGCCAGGGGCTGGGGGAGAGGGGACGAGGGAGTAACTGCTAAGGGAATACATGTTTCCTTCTGGAGCAATGGAAATGTTTTCAAATTAGATAGTGGCAATGGTTGCACAATTCTGTGAATGTACTAAAAACCATTGAACTGTATACTTTAAATGAATGAATTTTATGCTATGTAAATTATGTCTCATTAAAGCTGTTACAAAAAACATGTAACTTTTCAAAGAACATTAGCATGAACTATTTTGGTTAAAAGAAAATAACACAATAAAATGTTTATCCATAATCCTGTCATCTAAAAATTCAAACCATTCTTTCTGCATTCTTCTCTAGTCCTTTTCAAATACTTAGGTAAGTTTGACATACTTATAGTATGATAGAACTGTCTTTATATTTCCAAAGGACTTTATGTATATTTTATAACTTCTTCATTTAACAAACATTTATTAGGTACTTATTTGTGCCAGGAATCATGCCTAGTGTTGGGGACACAAGGATGATAAAAACCTAGTCCTGCCTCAGAGTGCTGTAGATCAGGGAGTAGTATTTTCATTTAACAGATGAGAACATTGAAGCTCAGAGAGGAGGTCAAGTGAAATGTCTGAGGTGACCCAACTGTTGACTGACAAAGCTGAGACTAAACTGACCTCTGACTGCCAGGCCTAAAGTCTTTCTTAATGTAGACTGTGCTTCTGTTTTCTGCATGTTTTTATTGTTCTAAAGCACTACTTTTTGCGTCTTGGCTTGTAATGCCTCTGCAGAATCTTGGTTATGTAAATAAGGTGGAAAGCTTCACCCCTGTCCTTGATGGATTACCCAAGCTCCCATAGCTCTAACGATGATGAAGTCTGTTTAAACACAAGATTTATACGACTATCATTCATTGAAGTTTGGTTTAAAAAAAATACACAAATATCTTTGCAAAAAATAAAGGCAGTACCTCTGTGTGATATAAGTGGCTAATTCTCCTTTTTTCTTTATGCTTTATCTTTATTTTCTGTAATTAGAATATGTGCTGGTTTGCTATATAAACACATGCATTCATGTAGGTGCTCACATATTTGGTGACAGGCAGAGTTACATTCCAGGGGTTGCCATAGCATTTTCTAAAAGCCTGTGTCCTGTCTGGCACTGTCTAGGTCATCAAGAAGAAGTTAGTGGGATCTGTGAAGGCGTTGCACAAGCAGTATGTGTCCTCGGACACAGTGGTCACCAGTGAAGACGGAGATGCCAACACCATGTGCAGCGCCTTGGAGGCCGTATTTATCCATGGCCTGCACGCCAAGCACATCCGAGCCGAGTCTGGGGGGAAGAGGAAGAAAAGCGCCCCCCAGAAGGCTCTGCCGCAGCCTGTCTTCTGGCCCCTCCTGAAAGCTGTCACCCACAAGTGAGATCAGCTGGGGAGGCTTTGTTTTGGGGCAGAGTTTCAGGGTGGGACCCGGGGCTCTTCCTCTCCAGCGCTGCGGGAAAGCGGACAGATATGCACTGTGCTCTAGAGTAGAGATGGCCAAGGTAGGGCCAGTGTTAGACCTCGGGCAACAGCCTGGGCTGCTTCAAGCTCCTGGACTGGTTGCCTTTAGCAGGAGCTGCCTTTTTCAGCATACTGTGGCAGAGTTAGGTACTTGCAACAGAGGTTAGGTGGCCTGCAAAGCCCAAAATCTTCATTATCTGGCTCTTTATCAAAGAAGTTTGTTGACCCTGCCTTAGAATGTTTGAACATCTGTGCTAAGTGTTATACTCAAACCCAGGTAATTTTTTAAGAAGAGTGGAATCCAGGTAGAGCATCTGAATATTTACCCTGAGACACTTGTGTTTGTGGCCCTGTCCCCAAGTGCCTGGGCTTGGAGCAAGGAGCTGGCACTGTGCCTTGAGGGCTATTATCTGCCACCCTCAGCCCCAGGGTGCCTTGTCAGCTTCTATCTCCCTTGCCATGCCTGCCACCACTGCCCTATCTCAGGTTGTCACTTCACTCCTGGGTGGCAGTGGCTTTCTAATTGTCCCCCTTACCTCATTCTGTCTTTCCTTAGGTCAGTCAGCTCATCAGCATGTACTGAGCTTACGCTTAAGCTCAAGCTCATGCTAACAGGAGCTCAGTAGGTGTGGTCTGCGCTCCTGTGGAAGTCAGAGGAGGGCCATTTACAGCAGACCGAGGCATTTAGGGACTGAGTTGGTACATGTGGGGTCTGATCTTATCCAGAGCAACCACCCTGAAGCCTGTATAACTATGGTCAAATTGCTCCTCTCTGCAAACCTTTGTAGGCCAACGGCTCCCAAATGCTAGCATGGAATCTGAGTCACTAGGTTGGGGCAACAAAAATCTGTGTCTTAACCAAATTCCCCAGATGATTCTGATGCACAGTCAGATGTGGGGACCATTGCTCCACTTTGCCTCACCAGTTTGATACTCAAGACCCTGCATTACCTGGCTTTGCAACCGAATCACCCACTCCTCCCCGTGTTGTAATTGGAGCACTCAACCCTCCTGTTACAGTCTGCTGTTTTCCTATCCTTTATTTCTGCCAGTATTTTGTGCCTAGAAGGTTTTCCTTCCATCTTTACCTCTTTAAATTCCTTGTAGTGCAGTGTAGATACTGCCCTTTCGAGGGCATTTTTCTGACTCCAGCCCAGAAACGATTGCCCAGCCTCCACCCCAGCTCTACTAATGATGGGGCTCACCTCAGTGTACCTGGACGGAGGGGGGGACCATGTCTTTACCCTGTGTCTTTGCAGCACTGAGGACCTTACACTTCGGGGCTCAGGAGACAGGTCCTGGATGAACAGATGATGTTAGGAACCCAAGGGGTAGTTGTAATGAAAATGGCAATTATTCTTCATGATACCAGCCTCAAAAAGTTGGGAGTTATAACTTAATATATCTAAATTCTAAATGAGAACACAATTATCCGAGAATTTTTCATGTTTGTATATATTTGTACCTGTTATTGGCTCTTGTTAACCAGTGGATAAAATGACATCTCTGTGATTTGAAGGCTTTCCTCTAAACAAGCTCTTCTCCCCATTCCCAGACACATCATCTCGGAACTGGAGCACCTGACCTTCGTCAGCACGGATGTGGGCCGCTGCCGGGCCTGGCTGCGGCTGGCCCTGAACGACGGCCTGATGGAGTGCTACCTGAAACTGCTCCTCCAGGAGCAGGCCCGGCTGTGCGAGTACTATCAGCCCGCAGCCCTGCTTCGGGATGCCGAGGAGGGCGAGTTCCTCCTCAGCTTCCTGCAGGGACTGACATCCTTGTCCTTCGAACTCTCCTACAAGTCCGCCATCTTAAACGAGTGGACACTTACCCCACTGGCTCTCTCTGGGCTTTGCCCCCTCTCTGAGCTCAACCCCCTTACCACCTCTGGGATGGAACTGCAGCGGAAGGAGTCTGTGGATTCAGTTTCCCATTCCTCAGGCTCAGAGGACATCGAAGTCCAGCACTCAGGCCACAAGATCCGACGGAACAAGAAGCTCACTGCCTCCTCCCTCAGCCTGGACACGGCCAGTTCATCCCAGCTGTCCTGCAGCCTAAACTCTGACAGCTGCCAACTCCAGGAGAACGACTCCAAGAGTCCAGACCATTCCGGGGAGCCCATGTCCTACGACTCAGACCCGGGGGCAGCAAACGCCGAGGATTCAGACTCATCTCTGCAGGAGTGAGTACCTCCCCCACCCCTTTCCTGTCTCTCATTTCCCTTCCTCCTCCCCTTCCCCTTTCTCTCCCTTCCTTCCCGTAGATGGGACTGCCTGTCCCCGAGCACTGACCTCTGTAAGGGAACAAGACAAAGGGGACCTCGTCTCTCTCCCTCAGGGACTGGAATTGCTGGCCCCTGTAACTGGAGGCAGCACAGGGGCAGTGAGAGAAGGGATTCGGACAGGCCTCAGAGGTGGTTCAAAGGAGGTAATCTCTGTGCGGCTCGGTGTAAAATATTGTCGTCTTCATCTGGAGGGAAGGAAGCTAACAGTTCAGAGCTATCGTTACAACTTCCCAAAAGTACAGTGAGACATAATGCATAAGGGTGCCCTTCTGTGACCACACAGACCTCCTGGAAGACACAAAGCCCGAACCATGCCTGGGGAGGTTGTAGACAAACCAGGCCGTGCGAGCGCGTGGAGGAGGGAGTCTGAGCGTAGCCTTCTTTGCAGGCTTTTTTTTTTTTTTTTCCCTTAAGAATCTGCTACAGCTATAATGTCTATTTTTTTTCAAAGTAGGTCTTCCTCACCCACCGAAGGCCACATAGTGAAGTTGCTCAAAACTTCAGTTTCTATTTTGGTAGCATCTAGGACCTACAGAAGTGATTTCCAATTAATTACAATTTCAAAATTGAGGTTCCTAGTAACAATGCCCAGTGCCAAAACACACCCTCCCCACCACCATTTTGTTTACTTTGTGGGAGAAAAGTTTTCACTGGAAAGAATTTTTAATTTTATGAAGATTAACATTGGAATTCTCTAGGACAGCAGCCATTTCTCCACAAGTTTTGGTAAAGGTTATAGCTCAGATTTCAAAGCGCAAACATGTTCCTGGAGCATCCGAAATGGGCCACTCCACTTTTATTCCTAGAGCCGTCGCGACTCTTATGTGCCCCAACCCCACAAAGGGCAAAACTCATCCCCTTTTAGTGTACAAGTGCAAGAGTACACTTTCGGAGTTTCCCAAAATGACCGGCAACGTATGAACCCGGGTCGTTCCTAGAATCGGGGCTGGTCAGGAGAAATCTTGAGGGAAGGGGCGCCCAAAGATTTCCAAGCACTGGGATCGTGAAGGTTTCCACGTGCTCCTATCTAGGGAGAATCAGTGGCTGCTACAATAGGAAGAAGGCTGCTCCTTTCCGTGGCCCTGGCCGCGTAATGGCTTTGGCGTACTGTGGGGGGATGGCGGGTGCACCGGGGTCCCCGCCCTCGGAGCCTTCAGCTGACTGCCACGCTAGAGGGACGCGCGGCTGGAGCTGCGGCCTCCACCCTCCCCGGCGCCAGTCTTTAGAACCTGGCGTCGCCCCCACCTCGCCCGTCGAAGTGGGTGTCCCGCCACGCTGGGCCTCATCGCCATACCCAGGCCGCATGGGGTAGGGAAAGAACTTGGCAAATCTCGGCCTCAGAGTCTGCGCCCCTGTGGAAAGAGCAGAGGAGAGCCGTTTCACCCGATCTCATACCAACTGGGGTATTGGGAAACAAGCGGTAATTGCCTAAGAACCCCGAGCTCTGAGAGGTGAGGCTGCGGGGACGCCTGGACGGTTTGAGGACCGGGCCCGGGTCGGGAAGACTCCAAACTTCACCCCTCCCAGGTTCCCGGTCCCACTCCCCGCCGTCTCCCAGCGCCGCCACTTCAGGCAGCCCACTGGGCCCGCCTGTCCCCGTGCCCGGACCACCCCCCATGGGGTGCTCTCACTGCGCAGCGAGTCCCTCCGCTGTTTGCTCCCAGCCCCTCCTTGCAGGCTTTTTAACATTAACTTTTGAACAGATAATCTATTTTTATGGTTTAAAAAAAAATCTAAAATGTATACAAAGTCTTTCCTACTGCTATAACCATAATTATTAATTTCTTACATACTCTTCCAGTGTTTGTGCATCTATAACAAAATATGAATATACAGATTTTTAAAATTTCTTTCTTATTTCTTATGCCCCCCCCTTTCCCACCAAGACTAGTATAACTACACTAATCTCCACTGTATTTTGGAGGAGATTTTCATATCAGAGTTTCTTAATCTTTTTTTCTATTGCATATTTTTCCATTGTATTAACGTACCTTTTTATTTAATTAGCCCTGTACTTAATAGATATTGGAGTTCACTGTTTCTGTAAATAACCTTGTGTATGTGGTCTTTTAGTTCTATGCAATTAGATTAATTCCCAGAAACAAAATTGCTGAGCCAAAGGATAGATTAATCTGTAAGTTTCACAGATAATTGCCTATTTACACTCCATCAGGAATGTACTTGTGTCCTCTCAGCCTTGTCAGCAGAAAATATTATCAAACTTCTGGATATTTGCTCACTTAGTAGATAAAAAATGGTAACCTTTTATTAAGCACTTCTTTTATTCAGACCCATGTTCTATCAGCTGTGTTGAGGACCTTCTTTCTACCCTTGCTGCCCCACCACCCACCCTTAGTCCAAGTCTTTACAGGGTTCCACCTAATAGGGAAATACCACCAGGATTGATGGTGCTACAGCCTGGCTTGGAGCAGATCTAGTTTTAAGCCCCATTCCACCACTTAAAGTCCAGCAGTGTCAGGCAGATTGCTAACTCTTCCTGAGGTTCTGTTTCTTTAAAATGGAGATTGTCTCAGAGGACTGTTTGAGAATTACATCACATGCCTGTTAGTGAGTTGCCCACATAAGAACTTCTGGTAGGCCCCAGAAACAGCTTCTGAGCACTGAGCCCATCAGATAGAATTACAAATGGCAAATGGAAGAATTTTTATGTAACATGTTGGGAAGGCAGTCCCTGTCCCAGACATGGCTGGGCTCCTGGCGTGACTTAAGCTCATTAACTTGTTTTAGCCCCATGTTGTCCCTCAGTCCTCCCATGGCCCAGCCAGCCTTCTCTTTGTCATGTGTCTTGCCTTTGTCTTTCATGAGTCTTGTGATTGGAAAGTTCCAGCTTAAAGTTGTTGAATCAGTGACCATCCCCCCTGTTTGGGCAGTGTTGTGCTGATGTTATGGGGAACTCAGGGGAAGAGGATCAGGATGTCCCGAACAGCACTGCAGTGATTGAGGAGCCCACAAACCCTAAACACAGATGCACAGACACACGCAGCCCCATCAATCCTCAGAGCTGGGCTCAAAGTTAGTCTTAGAGCATCCACAGAGACCACCATTTCTTGGAGTGTATGTTTTAAGGGTAAAGACCGTCACAAAACATGAGAGTTCACTTGTTATTTTTATTATAGTACTTAAATGTTTGTATCTTAAAATGAGGCATAAGTATCTTGTGCTTATAGGTCTTACAACTATAAAATCAAAACATCTACAAATTAAAGTTCAAAATAAACAGAAAATTCCAAATGAAATGTATTAGTTTAATGTTTTATGGAAACCAACTTGCGGTTTGCCTTGTGAATAGAGAATTGACTGCCCTTAATAGCTTCTTTTGTGTTTGTTGGGTCTGAATTATAATTATCACCAAGAAGCCTCGGTGCAGGCCAGTGGTTAAGAACGTGGACTCAGGAGCCAGATCACCTGAGGCTTCCATTAACCATCTTTTCAGTCTTGGGCAGTTACTCAACCTTTCTGACCTTGATGTCCTCATCCATAGAATGGGGGTAAGAATGCTGGGAAGAGTAAATGAGTTAAGGTATGTAAAGTGCTTAGAGCAGCTCCTGACATGGTGGGTGCTCAGGGGGTGGTATCATTGTCATTTTACTGCTGGGTATCTGTGGCCTCAGTTCTCCTCTGCTTGTCTCTATGAACACTGCTGCAAAACCTTGGTAAGATTTGTCAGATGTTATTGTCACGAGCTCTCATTCCCTTTGGGGGAAATGATTATGCCTGAGCAGCCCCTGTGCTTTAAGTATACATCCTCTGTATGGGCCTCAACTGCCAAATAGTATGTGTACTGCCAGTATGATAGTCCTCATGTTCAGGAAAACCGCAGGCTCAGAATCACTTGGCAGGGTATTTTATGAGGTGGTCGCCCAAACCCACAGGCCATGCTTTTTATTTATTTGACTTAAATATATCACATACATACTCATACATATATACATATGTATATACTACATATACTTCTTCAGATTGTTTACTAAAGAAGAGCACAAAGTTTTACAAATCTTGAACAGAAAGTTCTGAAAAACACTGCTCTGAACCAGCAGAAGTGGAAGGACTGTAGCAGTTTCACTGTTTAATTTCTATGTGGCATTTTCTTCAAAATGCTTAAACGTTTTCTTTTTCTTTTTTGCCTTTCCTTCAAAATCTTACCTCTAGCACTATTTTCCACTTGATGTACATGTCTCTCTCATTCTCCTTGGGTCCTGAAGACCAGTACTGATTCTGGTAAAGCTCTGTGAACACGACTTCCCTTTGACTTTGGTTTTGATTTGCTGGAAACTCTAATTTATCCCACAAGCTTCTTGCTGTTTGTGGCATTTCTTTAGGCATGAAGCAACTCACTTATTCTAACACCCAGTCTACTCTGTCATTAAAATCTTTGTATAGATTTAGGATTCATTTATAATTGATAACCATCTTGGTAGCACTGAGTATTTCCAACTCTACTCCTTTCCTTGCAGTCTTGTGTTTGTGTACATGGAGTCTAAGCACTCTTATCAATGATAATAAAAACAACTGCAGTAGCAAGTTGAGGTTAACGTTTACGGGAGATTACTTTGTGCTAAACATTCTACTAAGCATTTTGCCTATATTATCTCATTTAATCTTTGTCATGGTCATAAAAGGTGGGTGTTGTCACCATGCCTGTTGTACAGATAAGGGAAGTCCATGAGCTTTGGGGGCTGTTGTGGGGCCACAGCAGTGTGCTCACCAAGGCCAGGTGGACTCTGGAGCCCTGCTCTTAACTCCTCACTACACAGCCTCCTGGAGCCCATGAGGAGCTGGGACCTGACAGGAGACATTTGCCAGAAGTCTGCCTCCCTTGTTCATTACAGAGCTGTTCCCATTGTGGCTCCGTGGTTTGGACACACATGGCTAGTAGTGAATGTCTCTTCCTCTTATGCCTGGGGAAGCTCCCCTTGTTTCCTCACTCACTGTTGCCCACTCCATTAAGTTGCATTCCTGGACTTCCATCCATCTTTTTTAGAATGAGGTCTGAGAGCAAGAACCAGCACCCACTTGCCACCCCCATAACGATTCCACAAACACATTTACACCTACACCTTTCTCTGATAGCTCATCTTTGTTTATTGAGAGATGCTTCAAATGCCATAAAAGTGACCATTATAAATGTACATTTCAGTGGCTTTTAATGTATCTGCAAGGTTGCACAACATCACTAGCACGTGATTCAAGCACACTTTCATCACCCTGTAAGGAAGCGCCTTATCCGTTAGCTGTGGATTTTCCTGTTCTGGACACTTAATATAAATGGAATCATACAATATGTGATCTTTTGTGACCACCTTTTTCACTTAGTATGTTTTCAAAGTTCATCTGTGTTATAGCATGTGTCATGGCTAATAATGTTTCATTGTATAGGTAATACAATTTGTTTATTCGTCAGTTAATGGGCATTTGTTTTTCTCCCATTTTTTGGCTATTGTGAATATTGTAGCTATGAACATTCATGTACAAGCTTTTGTGTGGACGTGTTTTCTATTCTCTTGGGTTTACATACACACCCATGAGTAGAATTGCTGAGTCATATGGTAACTCTGTATTTAACTTTTTGAGGAACTACCAAACTGTTTTCCACAGGGGCTGCACCATTTTACATTCCCACCAGCCACATATAAGCATTCCAGTTTCTCCACATCTTTGCTAACACTTGCTATTGTTTTTTTTTTTTTTTTAAATTATAACCATCCTACTGGGTATAAAGTAGTATCTCACTGTGGTTTTTACTTGTATTTCAGTACTATCTAATGATACTGAGCATCTTTTCATGTACTTATTGGCCATTTGTGTATCTTTAGAGAAATGTCTCTTCAAATCTTTTGCCCATCTTTAGATTGGGTTATTTGTTTTTTTAATTATTGAGTTGTAAGAGCTCTATATATTTTGGATACTAGTCCCTTATCAGATATATGATAAGATTTGCAGATATTTTTCCATTCCTATGAATTGTCTTTTCACTTTCTTGATAGTAGCCTTTTTGAAGCACAAAAGTTTTTAATTTTAATGAAGTCCAACTTGTCTATTTTTTATTGGTGGCTTATGCATTAGATGTCTTATCTAAGAAACGATTGCCTGATCCAAAGACATAAAAATTTACACCTGTTTTCTTCCGAGAGTTTTATAGTTTTAGCTCTTACCTGTATGTGTTTGACACATTTTGAGTTAACTTTTATTATATGGTATGAAGTAGAGGTTCAACTTCATTCTTTTGCATGGGACTTTTCACTTATTCCAGTACCATTTGTTGAAAAGACTACTTTTTCCCCATTGAAATGTCTTGGTGCCCATGTTGAAAATAATTGCCCATCAATGTAGGGATTGGTCACCTATTCTTGACTAGCATGTCTTGAAGTGTTCCCAGTTATGATGGTGTAGACAAGAGCAGAGCTCAGCCAGAAGACAGTTAGGAAAAATTTTAGTTCTAAAATCCTTATTTCTATAAGCCCACATTAAGGGGAGTTTGATATGTCTTCTGGACCCAGTCTCAGCCGTTAGGCTCCAGACAGCTTTACTGCCGTTTGAACCTGCATTTGTCCATGACGTACTCCATTGGGTTCATAAGCAGAGGAGGAGAGAGAGCAAACAGATTTACTTCAGAAACAGAATTTGGATTCTCAGAAGCCTCAAGAGAGGGAGCAGCAGCCACTAGCCAGTGCACATTCCAAAAGGGCCAGAAGTATGTTTTCAGGTGTGTGTGTATGTACACAAAGGCAGTAATACTGGCTCCCTGTGGCCCCAGAGGTACCACTGAGGGTCTGGAAGAGCCAGTCTCATCAGGAGGAGTGAGCAGACCCACACCCCATAAATACTTGTACACACACTCCCACACCTTGTGTACACTGATCTCCAGCAGCAACTTCTGGAAAGAGAAGGCTTCTCTGATTCCACACCCAGTCCACTGAAGTGGACCAGCCCTTGCAACTCACCCCAACCCTGCTGTTTAGTTACTGTTCCAGGAACAAAGTGGGCCCTCACTTCACCTACGTCCGTGCCCCAGGAGTGGAGTCCTGGTGCCTCAGCTGTGCGTGCTGTCAGGCAGCTCACCTCTGAGACATTCCATTCACCAAAGCTGTGTCGCAGGTGGCTTGGGCCAATGGTCGCCCACGTGACCATTTGGCTGAGCGAGCTCTCCAGGCCCACAGGTAGCCTATTCAGAAGGTAAAAGGCAGTCAGCTTCCAATTGCATTGTCCTTTTTCTTTGCTTTGTGAGCCGAGCTTTTTTGCCCGAGATCCTGGGCTCCACAACCCACCTGCCCACCCAGTGTGCCTAAGTCCCACCTGAGGAGAAATTCAGTGGGGTCTGTCAGCAGAGGGGACCTGTGTGGGCAGGGGAGTGCAGTGCACATGAAGAGAGTCTTGTTTGTTTTGTTTTGTTTTTTAAATCAATCACAAAATAGCAGTTCACCCTTCTTACCACTGCCCAGTAGCCTGGGCATACTAACTGACCACCCGTCACACAGGTTTCTTTGTTAAAAAATTCTAGGGTGTTGTCGGAATTCAGCAAAGCCCAGGTGAACTCTGTGCCAACCAGCAGACTGAGCCGAGAAGCAGAGATCCCCACCCTGCAGGCCTCACTCGCCTTCCACGGCCTCCACACTAGCTCACACCTGCACTTCGATGTGCCTGCAGAGTCCCACCCCACCCAGGCGACCCTGGGGACTCAAGATGGCGGCCACAAGCAGGAGGCATCTTCCCAGGCACCTGGCACCCTGGGCTTGCAGCAGCTGGGCACCATCCAAACTGTCCTTTTGGGGAGCACTTCCAGCCAGCAGCCTTCTAGTCTGATGAGAGAGACGACCAGAGCAGTCAGCCAAGGGAGTGGCCAGCAGAAGCCCCCGAAGGAGGTTGGAGCTGGTCTGAGCCTTGTCGTGTCCTCACCCACCAGTCCGGTGAGTGGCATAAGCTGTTTTGGGGGGAGTCTTGGTGAAAAGTCTCCGTGCGGTGCAGGGTTTCCCCAGCTAGTAATCCCGAGTGGCCTCTGCCTTCTCCCCACCAGCCTGCCTGCCTGCACAGTGTTAGGGTTAAGAGCATTGTGGTGATGCATCTCATGTTTCTTGGTGCGTGAGTAGGGATGTGAGCCAGGCACTGCCAGTCACTTCCCATGGGTATCTCCTGTCATCATCGTTGACCCTGTGTGGAGAAGGTAACACTGGGCTCATCTGACCCCAGACTCTCTGCTCGTAACCATGGCCACTTACCAGCTCAAGGCCTTGGGCAAGGTGCTTTACCTCACTGAGCCTTGGTTTCCTCCTCAGTGTTTGTTATTATTAAATCAATGTTACAAAGTACCAGGCTTTAAAAATACTATTTTGCCACAGGAATCAGATTTAGAGCTGCGCTGTCCAATATGGCAGCCACATGTGGCTACTGAGCACCTTAAATGAAGTTAGTCCAAACTGAGATAAGCTGTGTAAACACTGGATTGTGAAGACTTATAATGATATAAAGTATTTCATTAATAACTTTTTTATTGATTGCATGTCAAAATGAAAATAGTTTAGATATATTGGGTTAAATAAAACATAATGTTAAAATTAATTTCAACTATTTCTTTTTACGTTGTTTAAATGTGGCCACTAGAACATTTTAAATGATATACAGTGGCTTAATTGTATTTCTGTTGGACAACAGTATTCTAGAATAAGCCAATCCAGTTTATTGTTACATAACCCATGGGAAGCCAGCCCTGAAATGTCCTGGAGAGCCATGGGTAGAGAGGCTTAAGAACTGTTGGCCGGGGAAGCAGCAGTCAGGGCTGCGGACACAAGCTTTCTTGCCATTCATACTGGTTCTTGTGTCATGAGAAGCCGAGGTAGGAATTTGTGTGCTTGTGTGCTCATGGATACTCAAAGCCTAGAGCTGATCCCAGCAGCAGTCTGAGGTTCATGTTGGGATATAGTCTTGGTTTTTCAGCTCCATCCATGCGCATTCCTCCTTTGTCCTATAGCTTCCATATCCTTTAACTCAGAATGGGGCCAGGGCCATGAAATAAACTAACTAGAAGAGGGAAGCCCCCAACCCCCTTTTAACAGATACATTGAAATATAATTCACATACCATACAATTCACCTAATTAAAGTGTAATTCAATTTTTTTTCTTATATTCACAAGATTATGCAACCATCACCACAGTCTAATTTTAAAACATTTTCATCACCCATAAAAGAACCCCCGGCCCATTAGTAGTCATTCCTCATCCCTCTCTTCTCCCCCTGTCTCACTCCCCTCAACCCAAAACCACTAACATCCTTTGTCTATAGATTTGCTGTTATGGACATTTCACATAAATGGAATCATATAGTATGTAACCTTTTGTGACTGGCTTCTTTCAATTGACATAATGTTTTTAAGGTTCATCCATGCTGTACATGTATCTGTCCTTCCTTTACATTGCTGAGAAACGCTGCTCTGTAGATTTCCTTGTATGGATGTATCACATTTTATTTATGCCTTCCTAAGTTGATAAACATATGGTTTTCTTCCCACTTTTTGGCTAGTGTGAATAATGCTGCTGTGAACATTTATGTACAAGTGTTTGTGTGAATATATTTTAATTCTCTTGGATGCATACCTAGGAGTAGAATTTTGGGATCATATGGCAACCCTATAACCTTTTGAAGAATTGCCAAACTGTTTTCCAAAGTAGCTGCCCAATTTTATACTCCCATCAGCAGTGAATTCCTCTACATTGTCACCAACAGTTCTTAAATGTCTTTTTAAAAATTATTTAATATCCTTATGGGTGAGAAGTGTTATCTCATGGTTTTGATTTGCATTTCCCTGATGGCTAATGATGTTGAGCAATTTTTCATGTGCTTATTGGCCATTTGTGTATCTTCTTTGGAGAAGTAGGATTCTACTCAGAATCCTTGCCCATTTTTAAGTGAGATTGTCTTTTGTTATTGAGCTAATAATAGTCTTTATATATCCTGGATTTTAGACCCTTATTGGATATGTGATTTGCAAATATTTTTCTCCCATTCTGTAAGTTGTTTTTTCTGTTTCTTGATGGTATCATTTGTACCATAAAAGTTTTCATTTTGATATAATCTAGTTTATCTAATTTTTCTTTTGTGTGGTACGAAACCCACAGTATAGAGTCATGGGTAAAGGATTGGACTCCAAGTGAAGACTTACTCCTCTATGTTTTCTTCTAAAAAAATTTTTTTTTGATATTTTGAATTCTTAATTGGTTAAATCACAGATACTCCTAAAAATGTTATAGTTTTAGCTCTTACATGTAGAGCTATATCTATTTTGAGTTAATTTTTGTATATTGTGTAAGGATGAGGTCCAACTTAATTTTTTTGTGTATAGTTAGATCAGCACCGTTTGTTGAAAAGGCTATTATTTCCCCCTTTTAAGAATTTTTAAGGATTGATGTATTTAAAGTGATCCTCAGTGTTCACCTCAGTGAGTAATTGTATATAATGTACACTCTGTAACCACCATCCAGATCAAAATATAGACCATATCCAGCTCACCAGAAAGCTTCTTTATGCCTTCTTCCAGTCATTGATCCCCTCCAAAGGAAAACACCATTCTGACTTGTAGCACCATAGATTCATTTTCCTGTTGCTGGACTTCATACAAAAGGAACCACACAGTATGTACTCTTTTGTTTCTTTCGCAGAACATTATGTCTGTGAGATTGAGCTGTACATGTAGCATAGGTTATAGTTTGTTATTTTCCTTTGCTCTATAGTATTCCATCATAAGAGCATATCACAGGGTATTTATTCATTCTCCTGCTCACAGACATCTGGGTTGTTTCCAAGTCTGAGCTATTATGAAGAAAGCTGCTGTAAACTTTCTTGTACTTACCTTTTGGTGAAACCGACATGCTCATTTCCACCTCAAAGAATGGAATTGCTAGGTCATTGGGTAGGCGTATGTTTAGTATTAGTAGATACTGCCAGTTTTCTAACAATGCTTCTACTAACTTATATTCACATTAGCAATATATGAGCATTCTCTTTGCTCTTTATCATAGCCAGTGGTGGTGTTGATCTTTTTTAATTTTAGCAACTTTAGTAGGTGTGTACTGGTATCTCACTGTGGTTTTAATTTGCATTTCCCTGATTACTAATGATATTCATACCTTTTTATTTGCTTATTGGGCATTTGATCCTCATTTGGAAGTGTCTTTTTAAGTCATTGTTTCATTCTTAAATTGAGTTGTGTGTATTTTCCTTTTTGTCTCTTTCTATATTATAGATACATGTTTTATTGGAAAAAAATATATGTAGCAAATGTCTTCTTCCAGTCTTTAGCTTGCCTGTTCAATCTCTTAAAGGCATATTTTATTGAACAGAAGTTCTTGACTTGAATGATCTTCAATTTTATCAGTCTTTCTGTTTATGGTTAACGTGTTTTATGTCTATTTTAAAAATCTTTGTCTACCCCAAGGCTATGAAGGCTATAAAAATCCCTGTGTTTTCTTCTAGAAGTTTTAATATTTTGCCTTTTACAATTAGGTTATGGTCCATCTGGGATTTAATGTTTGTGTTTGTTGTGAAGTAGAAGTCAAAGTTCATATTTTCAAAGTTCAGAGTTTTTCCATATGGATATCTGATTCGTTAGCACCATTTATTGAATACGACTATGTAAATCATGTGACTGTATGTGTGCGGGTCAGACCTCCATTTTTACTATCCTGAAGATTGCTTTAGGGCCCCGAATATCACGAGCCCCTGAAGGTTATGAGCGGACAGTTGCTAACACCCTCTGGAGGCTGAACAAAGAAAAGCCCTGCAGCCCCCGCCTGGACCTCGAGGCAGAGGAGAAGGGTGGGGGCGGTGGGCCCCAGAGAGGGCTCCACAGAGTGGCAGTGACCGTACTGAGTTCACTCCTGTCCAGGGCCTGACTTCTGCTTTGCAGGAGCAAATATCCTGTCTTGCCAGCATCCCAGAGCCAATGGAACAGAGCAGCTTAAACTCATCAACACACCTCCTCCTCTCTCACCAAGTTTTGACCCTCTGGTCTCCTTGCAGCTCCTGACAAAGCAAGTTGCTTCTGGTCCTGGGCTTTTACATTTGTGGTTCCCTCTGCTTGGACTTTTCCTCGCTGTTTTCTCAGCATTCCTGACCACCCTGTCTCAAAGGCACCATCCCAGTGACTCTCCTTCCCATTTACCTGCTTCACTTTGTTTATAACACTCATCACTATGTGAAATGATATTATCCTTCTACTTGCCTACTTGTTTATTTTCTATCTTCTGGATTAGAATATTATAGCTCCATGATAGGAAAGCTTATGTCTGTTCACTTCTGTAATGCCAGCTCCGAGCACTGCATCTGGGAGAGAGTAGGCATCAACTACTAGTTCTCAGACTCTGCAGAGGCCCTTGAGATGCCAGCTTGGAAGTCCGCCCTGAGAAGTGCACCATTGAGTGCACAGGCTGGGCAGCTCCCCCTTCTCGTGAGCCTCACGGGAGTCTGGTTGCTGGAGGGTTGCTTGGGGAATGTGGAGTCAAACCTGGTGCTGAGTCCAACGTGACAGCCTCAGACACTCAGCCCTTCCTGAGTCTGCCTCCACTGAGGAGTGGTGGGTCCATTCATTCTTCCTCTTAGGGGATAGTCACCGGGCACCACTGTGCAGCCTGCCTGCCCACGCTGGCCTGGTGGACCCCTGCCTTTGGACGAGGGCCGGGGGGTGCCAGCCCTTACATGCTGCCTTTCTTGTTCTCATCTTTCTCTGCTTCCATCACTTAGTCACTGCTATTTATTTGGGGGATATCACCGACAAGTTTCATATAACTCCACAGGCCATCATTCAGTCTTTAAAGAAAAAATTTTTATACTCATTCAGTACAAAGCCCCTGCTTGGTACAGTGAGGAACAGAACAGGACAGGCAAGTGCCCCGCTTTCTGAGGACAAACAGAAAGATGCTAGATTAGACAAATAATTATCCATATCATAATTACACTTGTGATAAGTGCTGGGAAGGCAAGTTGCAGGGAGGTGAAGAGGGTTGTGAGTTGCATTCTTAACTTCCAGGGAACAGTCTGAATTCTAAGACTGGACCCTAATCACTGCCCTCGTGGGTCACCTGTCTGTGGCAGAGGTTCGAGCTGTCCCTCTGCCTGACATAATGAGGAAAGACTGGACAATAAGTGCTTTTATGAAAGCAGGCCAGAGACCTGGTATCTCAGTCCTCAGCCAGCTCCTCTCTGGGATTAGCTGCTGTAGACATAGTAATTCAGGGTGGCATTCCTCTGTCTTGGGCCCCTAATGGCAGGAGCTGTTCTGGCTTAGATCTTGGTTAGTTGTAATCCCCCCTCCTCCACTGCCACACACACACACACACACANACACACACACACACACACACACACACACACACACACACACACACACACACTGTTTAAGGGTAGGGAACTGGCCAGATAACCCCCTCCCTCTCTACCTTATGACTGAGGACCCTGGCTGGAGCACAGCCACAAAGCTCTCTCAGGCCTCTCTTGGGCATGTGCAAAACTCCTCTAACGCCCAGTGTTCCCACTGTTTTCCTAGATTACTTGTGAGAACGAACATCTTCCCGAGTATGATTTCCCGGTGGCTGACCGGTGGTCACTGGACCATGTCTGAATGTTTCCCAGTAACCTTCCTCTCCTCCACAGAGAGAGAAGCCCTCTCAGTGAACATACATTGTTCCCAAACTCACGTTTGTCTCCTTTCCAGCTCCCTTACCCAGCCCTTGTTATTTCATGTTAAAGATGTTTGGATAGTGGAGATTTATTCCTTCACCTTTTATAACTGTGCCAGGCACAAAAAAAAATGACCATTCCAAACAGTTTTGTAGGTGCTAGGATGGGAGTAAACACAGAACGCCATGGGAGCCCAGGAGGCATCCCTAACCCAGCTGGGGGCTTGAGCCCTGTAGGCTGGGAAATAGTTAAGGAAAGCTTCTAGGAGGATGTGACAGATGACCTGGAGCTGAGTCTTAAGGGACGGTGGTCTCTCTCATAACAGCCATTTGCAGGGCTGGGGAGTCACAGGGTTTCTCAGGTGTGTGTAAGCCACGCTTGCCCCCCACCCCATTTTCCTCAGGGAGTTCCCCTGGGTCTCATGACCGAGGCAGGCTTTGTTCAGAATCTTGTGTTGTAAATGGTCCCCAGTAACCACCCCGACTGACACATTGTCCTGTCACTGGCAGAAGGAAGCACCTGCCAATTCTGAGGGTTTTCAGAGGAAGCCCTGGCAGCCCAGCTTGGTGAGGCCTACAAGCTCCTGACTCAGAACTCCCCACTCTTAAGGCATCTGAATGTATTAAACTGTCGGAACCAATCCTTCTGGGGCAACCCCAGCCCTCCTCCTTTTCCCTGTCTTGATTTGACGGTTGGAAATAGCAATGCCAGGGTGAGGTTGGTGTCACTTAACGAAACAGTGGGGCTGGTCCCACCCCTTTTGTGACTCATTTCCTCTGTTTAGACAGCCACTTAGGGTGTCCCAGACAGCTTCTTGCATCTGCTCTTCCATGCTTGAATGGCAAGGAGTGCTTGAAATAGTGGGAAAAAAAGAGCTAGAATCCATTCCAACAAGCACTCTGACCCCAGACCCACCCCATTTCCCCCAGTCAGTGAGCAATTTCAGGCTTAGAGAGACAGCAACGGAAGGGAAGGGGCAGGACTGGCTGCTTGGGGCCTCAGGGGCCTGCTCAGAAGTGAGGAGCAGAGGCAGAGGGAGCCAGTGGGGACTTGGTTCTGCTCACCATGCTGCCTTCACCTCAAACCCTACAAGCAGAGCCAAAAAACTCCGTATCCCTTCAACAAATTGTGCTGGGGCAACTGGATATACACATGCAAAAGAATAAAGGTGGGCCACTTCCTCCCACCACACACACAAATCAGCTCAAAATAGATCATAGACCTAAATGTAAGAGCAAAAACTATAAAGCTCTTAGCAGAAAACTTACGGGCAAATCTTTGCAACCTCAGCTTAGGCAATGGTTTCTTAGCTACATCACCAAAAATACAGAGACGAAAGAAAAAGTAGAGAAATTGTACTTCATCAAAACTAAAATGTTGTGCCTCAAAGGGCGCCATCAAGATATTAAAAAGAAAGTTCACAGAGTTGAATAAATTATTTGCAAAGCATGTATCTGAGGAGGGCCTAGTATCCAGAATATATAAAGAACCCTTATAATTTGTATTTATTCCTAGAGCTTCTGTAACAAATTACCCTAAGCCAGATGGCTTAAAACTACAGAAATGAGTGATCTGATCATTGTGAAGGCTAGAAGTCCAAAATCCACATGTTGGCAGAGTTACTTCCTTCTTGAGATTCTGATGAAGAATATGTTCTGCCCCATTCTCTTAGCTTCTGGTGTTGCCAGCAATCCTTGACTTGTAGACACATCACTCCAGTCCCTTCCTCCATCATCACATGGCATTCTCCCTCTGTGTCTGTCTGCATGTGGCATTCTCCTCTATGCGTGTATGTCTCCTCCTTGCTTAAGGACACCTGTCACATGGATGAAGAGCCCACCCTGCCCCAGTATGACCTCATCTTAACTAGTTACATCTGCAAATAGGTCAAATTCTGAGGTATTGGGTGTTGGGATATCAATGTATCTTTTTGGGGGATACCAAATTCAGTCCATAACACAAGAATAAAAAAGCAAATAATTTAAAAATAGCAAAGGATTTGAATAGACATTTCTCCAAAGAAGATATGCAAATGATCAAGATGAACATGAAAAGATGATCAGTGTCATTAGACATTAGAGAAAGCCATAGCTTGTACTTACCACCTGTCCAGATGGCTGTAATCAAAAAGAGAGATAATAGCAAATGTTGGAGAGGAGAGGATATGGAGTAATTGGAGCCCCCATAGGTTGCTGGTGGGAATGTAAAATGGTGCAGCTTCTTAGGAAAACAGTTTGGAAGTTCCTTAAAAAGTTACATAGTTACCAGATGACCTATCAGCTCCACTCCTAAGTATTTACCCAAGAGATAGAAAACATATGTTCACATAAAATTTGTACGTGAATGTTCATAGCAGCATTATTCATAATTGCCAATGTTTGTTATAGAGGACAAAAAGTGGAAATAATCCAAATACACATCAGCTAATGAATGGATAAACAAAATGTGGTCTCTCCATGCACTGGAATATTATTTGGTCATAAAAAGGCGTGAAGTACTAATATGTGCTACAACATAGACAAACCTTGAAAACGTTATGCTAGGAAACCAATTACTAAAGATTCACATTATAAGATTCCATTTATACCTGATGTCCACAATAGGCAAATCTTGGAAACAGAAAGTAGATTATTGGTTGCCTAGAACTGGAGTGGTGGAGAGGAAGGGGGTGACTGCTAAGGGGTGCTGGCTGGTTACTTTCTGGAGTAATGGAAATGTTCTAAACTGAGATTGTGGTGATGGCCGCCCAACTCTGTGAATATACTAAAACCGTTGAATTGTATGTACACTTTAAATGGGTTAACTTTATGGGACATGAATCATGTTTCCATAAAGATGCTTTTTTAAAAATGTATGAAACAACCTATGTCTTCGCTTGTTTCCCAATAGGAAAGCAAGAACTGGATCTCGGAAGATGACTTCTACCGGCCTCCCCAGGATCGACTGGCAGAGAGTCCTTCAGAGAGCGGCACAGCTCCTTCCAGAGGGACCCCAGGCTCAAGGCCTTGTCTCCTCAGGCAGCTTTCTCAAGGACCAAGAAAAAGCTCCTCCATGGGGGCCTTAGACACAGCTTGCATGCCTTTCCCAGGAAGCAGGAAAAGCGAGGTGGCTGCGGTGCAGGAGGGCAAGAACTTCAGGGTGGTGCACCGCCGACAGATGGGTGGGTGGCTCTGCAGGATCGGGTGGGGGTGGGTGGGCGGTGGCGGCTCACTATGCAGAGACAGTGCCTTTCAGAGAGCAGTTCAAAGTCCTTTCTCCACTACCAGTTGGGTGATTTCTTCTCACAAGTGTAACTTCATCCCAGAATAAGGAGCACCCTTGCTGAGTAATTCAGGGAAGCATTTCAGGAAAAATACAGCATTTTCTCACAAAATCTGAATAAAGAAAGGCTCAAAACTGCCTACGGAGTACAAAAATACTGCTTTATATGTTGAAATGGACAATATTTTCCCTGAAACTGTGCTCTAAGTCTTATGTACAGAACCCCTGACTCTGTAGCCCAGAGCAAACCCTGCCTCTTGAAGGCCTAGGTGTTTCAGCTGCTCCTGCCCAAGGCCTCTATCTTCAAGGGTTTATTTAACAGCTCTGGTGGGGTGTATCAGATCTGCTATTATCTGTTTGGTGTCCTCTGTGTGCTTTTTACAATGAGGCCAGCTTAATTTCCACACCCTGTGAAATTCCAGAAAGCGTTAAATAACCATAACCTCATTTTTCTGAAACCATCATAAACAAACAAAATTGTGCCCTAGAGTCAGTCTCTTTATCTCCTCATTTTCTGTTTGCTATGACCCAGCAGATGATTCTGGCCCAGTGCCTAGGGCCCTGGCCTGGGGAGCATGGGTAGAGCCCCCTCTCCATGCTGGCTCCTTTGAGGTCCTTCTTTTAGCCCACGTGTGAGTGCAACCATGATGGAGAAGGTGTGCTCCATGCCTAGGCTGTCAGGTGACCTGAGGGGTAGGAAGATGCTATGCAGTGGCTTGAAATACCCAAGGTTGGTCCAGGCCAGGAGAGAGAGAACTGTGTCCTGTGGACCACCTGGTTGGTGACAGACCCCAGGGGAGCAGGCTGCATGGAGCAGTGTGGGTGCACAGGCGTGTGTTCACTCAGCAATATTTATTGCGTGTCTGTGATGTGCCAGGCACTATTCTAGGTGTTGGCAACCCAGCAGAAAACAATGCAAAGCCCCTGCGTTCATGGGACTTACATTTTAGTTCGAGAGACAGGAAGTAAGAAAATTAACAAGTAAACTGTAGCATGGCAGGTGGTGATCATTGGTACAGAGAACATTAAATCAGGGAATGCAAGGTGGGAGGGTCCTATTTCATATAGGATGCTAAGGAAGCCCTCACAAATAAGGGTTTGTTTGAGGAGACAGGGAGGAAGGAGGGAGGAAGGCAGGGGTGACTTCTGTGTTTCAAGCATGGAGAACAAATGCGAAGACCCTGCAGTGGGGATGTGTCTGGGGAAACGGTGGAGACCGGAGGAGATGGGAGGGGGCAGTCAGAGTGAGGTCAGAGTGACAGAGGGCCTTGTGGGCTGCAAGAGGACACTGACTTTTGCTCTGAGGATGATAGCAGCCATTGCAGGGTTTTGGGTAGAGAGACATGATCTGACTTTTAAGCGGGAGAGCAAGCCTTGCTCATGTGTCAAAAGGACTGCAGGGGGAGAGAGGCCAGTTAGGAGGCTATTCCTGTAACCCTGGCCAGGGACGATGATGGACGAACCCATGAGGTAGTAGCGGAGGTGGTGAGAAGTGGAAGATTCTGGACATGCCAACAGGATTTGCTGATGGATTGATGTGGAGAGTGAAAGAAAGCAAACCAAGGATAACTCCAAGGTTTTTAGCCTGGGCAACTGGAAGGATGAAGCTTGCCATTTTATGAGATGAGGAAAATGGGAGATAAACAGGTTTGGAGTGGGAGAATAGGAAATTCCTTTTTGGACGTGTCAACTTTGGGCAGCCTTACTAGACATACATGGAGCAGATGGAGATCTGAACCCGGAGTTCAAGGACGGGGTCCAGGCTGGAGATGAAAGCTGGGTGTTGTTGGCAGAAAGCCCTAAGAGTAGGTAAGGCCGGCCAGGAAGTGGGTGTTGCCAGAGAAGAGCAGAAGGCCCCAGACTGAGTTCTAATACCTCTTCAGGGGGTTTTCTGTAAAGGGAACAGAGAAAGAGGGTGGTAATGAGAGGTGTGAATGGAGTCAGAGGCATTTTTGAAGATGGGAGAAATAACAGCGTCTTTGTGTGCAGATGGGGACGATCCAGCAGAGAAGGGAGAAACCAGCCGCACAGCCGAGGGAGGGGAAGCACTGGAGAGCTGTCCCCACCCCGAGTGGGCGGGGAGGGGGTCCCACACATAGAGGGGTTGGCCTCAGACAGAGGTCAGCTCATCCTTGGAGATGGGAAGGAAGTCAGGGTGAGTACAGGAGCTGGAGTGAGGGGCCTGCGGAGGTAATCTTATGAGTGCTTTTCTTTTCTCAGTGACATTCAGAACCCAAGTCCACAGCTGAGGGTGAGGTTGGGATGGAGGCACTCAAAAAACGCCCCATGCAACCCATGGCTGCCTGCTTTCCCAAGGCAGTCACTTTGCCCACACCCACCACAGGACCTCAGACTCTGGGGGTGTTCTCGGTGTTATAGGGGCAGGCCTGTTGTCTGAAGTGCCTCTTTCTGCCCCCAGGGCTCTCCAACCCCTTCCGCGGTCTCATGAAGCTGGGCACGGTGGAGCGGCGTGGGGCAATGGGCATCTGGAAGGAGCTCTTCTGCGAGCTCTCCCCGCTGGAGTTCCGTCTCTACCTGCACGGAGAGGAGCGCATGTGCGTGGAGAGCTGCTCCCTGCTGCGCTGCGAGTCTGTGGGGCCGGCCCACAGTGATGGCCGCTTTGAGCTGGTCTTCTCTGGCAAGAAGCTCACTCTGCGGGCCTCCTCCCAGGATGAGGCTGAGGACTGGCTGGACCGCGTGCAGGAGGCCCTGCAGAAGTGCCGGCCCCAGCAGGAGGAGGAGTGGGTCAACCTCCAGTACCCAGACCAGCCGGAGGAGCCCCCCGAGGCCGCCCAGGCTAGCTTCCCCACCCGCTTGGACCTGCTCACGGAGCCTGGACATCTCCAGGGCACGCAGTTTGGTGGGTCCCCTGCCCAAGTTCCTGAGCCAGATGCTATTAAGGAATCCCTTCTGTACCTGTACACAGACAGGACCTGGACACCCTATATTTTTTCTCTGTCCTTGGAGTCTCTGAAATGTTTCCGCATAAGAAACAATGAGAAGATGTTAAGTGACAGCCACGGAGTTGAGACCATCCGTGATGTCCTGCCAGACACCAGCCTTGGGGGCCCATCCTTCTTCAAAATCATCACAGCCAAGGCTGTCCTGAAGCTGCAGGCTGGGAATGCCGAGGAGGCCGCCCTGTGGAGGGATCTGGTGCGCAAGGTCCTGGCATCCTACTTGGAGACGGCCGAGGAGGCAGTGACACTCGGCGGGAGTCTGGATGAAAACTGTCAAGAGGTGCTGAAGCTGGCCACACGGGAGAATGGCTTCCTGCTGCAGTACCTGGTGGCCATCCCCACGGAGAAAGGCCTCGACTCGCAGGGCTGCTTCTGTGCAGGTGCCAACTCGCTGCCCTTCCACCCCAAGCCTGCCAGCCCCGCTCTGCCTCCTGTGGGGTTCCTGCCTTAGGCTCCCAGCCCTGCCTGGCTCCCCAGGATGAGTGCCTTCATCCCAGCCCTAGGATGTTGTAGCAAATGAGGCCGCTGCAGTCAGCAGCCTCTGCTCCTGCCCAGCAGCCACTGGGGCCTGCACCCCAGCTTGTGGGAGCCCCTCTTGCCACCTTCTGGGGGTTGGGACCTGTGGGTGGCAGTTCTGTGGCATGCTGCTCTCTGCTCAGGGAGTTCCAGGGAGCTAAGCTCGGCCCCCTTCATTATCATATTCCTATATTATTATATTCCGTCCGAGCAGAGACATGGTACCCCTCCATATATTTCTGCATGCTTTTGCAAGTGCACACAATTTTTTAAAATTACAAAAATGAGCTTGTGCTACTTAGTGCTGTTGAATAGAACTTTCTGTGATGATGAAAATGGTCTAGGTCTCTGCTGTCCAATTCTGCCTACAAGCCAACACATGGCTACTGAGTATTTAAAGTGTGGCTAGTGTAACTAAGGAACTAAATTTTCCTTTGTATTTAATTTAAATGGGCACCTGTGGCTGGTGGCTGCCATACTGCACAACACAGCTATATATAGTACTGTATTGTGGTTTTCCCTCCTTAAGAATATGTCATAGATATTATTCGAAGTCAGTACATCTGCTGTGTCACAGCATCGTCAAATCTGATTCTCCTGTGGTGGGCACTGGACCCAGTGCTTATTTGGAGCATCTCATTCAATCCTCACAACAACCTTGTAGAGATCAGTGCCACTATGGTCTCTGTTTATAACCGAAGAAACTAAGTCAGGTGCTGGTAAGTACCTTGTCCCAGGTTTGCACAGCTCGGAAGTGGCAGAGCCAGATGGGGACCTTGATGGCCTTAGAACTGATGCTCTCAGCCAGGTCTCCGTAGGCCCCTTCATTCCCTTGTTTTTCAAGACTGTGACATTCCACTGCTCACATTCCATTTTTGAGCTCTTCTCCCCAGTGCTGACACCATTTCCATCACCCTGGGCCCTCCAGGTGCACAGTGAGGAGGGTGCCCTGCTGTGGCGCCAAAACGAGAGGCCTGGCTGCAAGTGGTTTAGGAGCTGTCCTGCCTGGGGCAGCCTGTGGGACGGGAGGGGAAAGCCTGCTTCAGGCGTCTGGAAGGAAGCGGTCTGCGGTTGGTGGCCCTGGGGGACAGAAGCTAGGCAGAGCAGAGCTGCCTGCAGAACACATCTTCACACCCACTCTCCTCTCGCCCCCCCACCAGCCTCTAACACTCACACTCTGACCTGCAGCCTGTGGGTGGCAGGCTCAGGCCCCCAGGGCTTGTGGGGAGGGTTCTCCCTGGGGCTGTGAATCCACCCAGGGCAGCTGTCCTTGTGCCTGCCACCCGCCAGTCCGCTGGCTGAGACTGAAACTGAGGAGCTTTGGTTTCCTTTCCACTGCAGGCACAGCCCTGTGGCCAGGCAGATGCCAGCTGCTGACATCTGCCTTGTATTTCATAGTTTGCAGGGCAGTTTGAAAACCCTGTCTCATTTAAACTTTGTAAAAACTCAACAGAAGAGCAAATAGTAGCTGAATTTTACAGGTACTGCAGCAGAACCTTGCAAAAATTCAGTGAAGGTTAGGATAAGGTAGCTGGTAGGTGGAAGAGCTGGCCTTTCTAGTCCTGAGAGCAGGGGGACTCTTTCCTTTTGTCCTGGCACTCCTACTCCCTCTGGTGTCTCTGGAGGGACTCCAGCAGAGGGGCCAGCCCTGGGCTCTGCACCACTCTACTGGGGGCTCAGGTAGGTCTGGCTCCAAGCTGGCACCAGGCAATATCCAGACTGTTCTGCCTCCAGCAGGCTTTCCTACCCATACCCTGTGACCAGCCCCATGTCCCCAGCCCCTTCCCTGCTTGCTGAGCCCCTGGCTTAATTGCTTCCATTCTGAGCCCCAGTAGAGGGGTAGACCTAGAGGAGGCTGGCATTGGTGAGCAAGCAGTGGGAGCACTGAACAGAGGCAGGTAGGGACAAGGAATGCGTGCTGCAGACCCAACCCAACCCCACTGCTGAGTCGCAGCCGTGCCACTCAACTCGTGTGTGACGGGGCAGGCTCTCGGACCTCTCTGCACAGCTCCTTCAGCCATAGTCTGATGATGATAATCCTTATGGTGTCTTGCTGTACAGGTTAATTAGTAGGGTTGTTTCTGAGTGGTGGAAATATGAGTGACAGACGTTTTTATCTTTGTGTCCTCCTTTTTAATCCTCATTCTCTCCTTAAATAACAGGACCTCTCTGCTTTAGTCGCTTTGTGTAATTCAGGAGCTGCTGCCACCCCTCACCCTCCCACCTTCTTCTCCAGGCTGCTCCCGGCAGATTGGCTTCTCATTCGCACGACCCAAGCTCTGTGCCTTCTCTGGCCTCTATTACTGTGACATCTGCCACCAAGATGATGCCTCGGTGATTCCAGCCAGGATCATCCACACCTGGGACCTCACCAAGCGCCCGGTAAGTCACGGCCACACAGGTGACAGAGTGACAGAGGAGTGGTCTCTCCTCTTTGCTGCTGCTCTTCCTCTGACTGGTAGAGTTTGGCTCTAGGGAAGCCATGGTCACTGGCCTGGCCCCATGAGGTCAGGGAGCTGACCAAGAATAAAACCTGGTACTGATAACAGAGCTCTGTCAGTGCGTGCCTAGGTCCTCAAGTGGGAATCTGAGGATGGTTCTCTGCAGCTCCTCAGGGCTACAGACAAAACTGTTTAAGGCACCAGCGACTAGATAGATATTGATAGGAAGGAAGGATAGATAGGATCGATTAGATATGTAAATGATGGGGGGTGGGTAGATGGCTTGGTGGGCTCGCCAGCTGCCTGTGTGTCCCCTTTTCTGTGCATCTGTTGACACACACATCTACTTTTTGTGAAGCTGGGACCACACTGGACTCATACTGCCTTGTGACATGCTTTGCTCACTTAGTATTACGTCTTTGGTGCTTTTTTATGTTCACCAAATACTTTTGAATAAGATGTATTCTAAGATCTTTTACATTTCCCTCTTTTCCAACCGAGCTTACCCACTCATCTAGCCATGTTACTAGGAGGCAATTATTTAACGTCGGTTTCTTCATCAGTCAAGGGGATTGATAACAGCGTCCGTTTTGGGATTGTTTGAGGACCAAAGGAGACATTGTCTATTCATCCCTTGACCGTGCCTTACAAGAGTGACTTTTGCTCTCCTGAGGCCTGTCATACCGCCTGCCCCTAATTCACTCGGTGAGGGTCTCCTGGAGAGGCACAAACTTGACTTTCTCCCAGAGGCATAGATTTCTGCTAAGACAGGCACAGAATCATGAGGAAGAAGCTGTTCGCTTCTCTCAAGACCCAGGCCTGCCCGCCGTGCAGTCTTGACATGAGGATGTGTCCTCAATAAGAGTATAGGGAACATGATTCTCCAAGTCTCTGCCACCCCAACTCTACCCCCTGGGAACAGGCCTCTGCCACCCCAACTCCACCCCTTAGGAACAGGAACCCCAAAGAGGTCACCTTCACTTTGGCTTTTTGTTGGTTACCTCATCCCCACCCTGCCTTCAGTATTAAGTATTTAACTAACTACTACATGGAGAATATTAAACCTCAGAATCACCGCAAATGCCAATAACCCTCTGGCCATAAAACACACTCAGTACTTACAACTCCCGGATACTTGTGTTGAGCCAGCTCCTCATTCATCACTTTAAACTTTGTCCCACCTCCTTTTTCCACCTAGAAAATTACAGTATTTCTCTCAGCATATCTGGACCAGGAAATACCCAGTGCTCTCTCAAAGATGCCTGGCCTGGGAAGGACAGGAAAATGCAAAACAGAAAGCGGCTGGCTGGCAGGTTAGGGGCCTTATTGTTCGCAAAGTTCCCACTGACTGACCCACTTGTGCGAGGCCTGGCTGGCACTTGGCAGGATGTCAGCCCAGGCCTGGCTGCTTTCTTTGTCCCGTCCATGCCCGCAGGACAGGAACAGTCCTGGGGGAGCACGGAGCCCCTGCCTGTCTATAGCGCTTGGCAGTTTGCAGCGCACATTCCTGTGTGTTATTTCATCTGAGCCTCACCCACGGCCTGAGGCTGAGTTGTGAGAAGGCCTGGGCCAGGGATGGAGAAGAGCAGTTTGACCTGAGTCAGGGGGCCTTTGCCTCCAGGCTGCCCATTGGCTAGGGGCTGGCACCTCAAGGCTCTGGGAAGTGGGGAAAGGAGTTGTCCATTGCTGGGGGAGGCGAAAGACAGCAGTAGAGCTGAGAGACAGGAGGCCAGAGGCCCCCCAGCCACCCAGTCTCCTGGGGGCCCTATTGCATTCCTGACCCTCCAGGGGACAGCTGGGCCACACCAGCCAGCCCTCATAGGGTCTGATGGCAGCTCCCATTTACCTAGGATATGCTCTGTGCCAGGAGCTTATGTGGGTTATCTTTTAATCTGAAGGCTAAGTAATCCCATGAGGTAGGTGCTTTTATTTCCCGCATTTTACAGATGAGGAAACTGAGTCACAGAGTGGCTGAGTAAGCTTCACAAGGTCATAGAGCTAGGAAGTGGTAGAGCCAATATCCAAACGCAGTTCTGACCTGAAAGCCCAGCTCCTAGTCACTGGGTGGTGGTGGACAGTGGGGAACGCATCTCAGCTCCTGCAGCCTCACCGCACCAGGGAGGAGCCTGGGAGAGAGGCTTCCCCTCAGTCAAGCAGCCAGGTGTGTGGAGAGAACACCTCAGTTCAGACCTGGGCTCCACTTCTGCAGGTGCACTGGATAAGCCACTTGAGGTCTGAGCCTCAGTTTCCTTATTTATAAAATGGGGGTGATGATACCTTCCCCACTGGGCTGTTAGGAAGAAAGGGTGTGGTCAAGGTCCTTAGCCCACTGTCACGCAAATAGTAGGTGCTCAATGATTGGCTTTGTCGTTAGGGTCAGGGCTGCAGGTTACACTTTCCTCACCCTCAGTTGGGAGAGACTGAGATTGATCACTCACCTCCACACAGAGACTTGGGGGAGCCCTGGTTGGTGCTTCTGACAAGAGCCGAGTGGCTCAGGAAACCTCTTGTTAAGCTGCGTCTGTGGCTTCCTGTGGCCGGAGCCTGACTCAGACAGTCACCTGGTTCCTGAGTTAGCCAGACCTGGCCTGGGACACAGTGCCTGTTTCCTTCAGGCAGGAAAGTGGGGACTAGGAGAACTGGAAATGGGGAAAGATCTTTGAGGCCCAGAGGGAGTGGGGTGTTGACCAGAGTATCCCAGCACAGGTCGAGGAGGGGCATCAGCTGTTGCCATGGAGGGAGAGTGGGCTTGGGAGGCAGATTAACTGGGTTCACATCTTGACTTTTATGAACTGTGGACCTAGGCCAAGTCACATTATCTCCCTGAACCTCAGGTTCCTCATCTATAAAATGAAGATGGCACCACTTTCCTTGGAGGGAGGCGGCAGGGCAAGCAGGTGGGAAGGTGATGCAGTGCCTGGCCCAGACATACTCACTGAATGGCCATTCTCCCACCCCTGCCACCTGGGGATGTCGCCAGATCTGCCGGCAGGCCCTGAGGTTCCTGACACACATCTGGGCCCAGCCCCTCATCAACCTGCAGCTGGTGAACGCATCTCTGTATGAACATGTGGAGCAGATGCGCCTTATTGGGAGGAGCCGGGAGCAGCTGAAGCTTCTGGGGGATTACCTGGGCCTGTGCCGAAGTGGAGCCCTGAAGGAGCTAAGCAAGAGGTGGGTCCTCAGGATGCGGGGAGACACACACACACACACACACACACACACACACACACACACACGC